CTATAGGCTTAGACTGCTGGAGGACATAGGGACCCCCTTTTCATCACTCTGCTTCATTCTATCTCTATTGTCTCACTCTGCAGAATCTGTTAGTTCAATCTCTAACCTTCTGCTCTCTCTGCTTTTTCTCATAGCAGCTTCGCCTCGTCTGTTCCTGTTTGGCTGTGACCCCGTCCTGGAGAGAAATATCAGCTGTGCAGCTGCCATCAAAACCTTTGTTTATAGATGTTGGAGATCGGCCTGATTTTCCAGTTTAGTCCTGTTTCTCTCACTGTGACTGGCTGGATGTGCTCTCTTTCATTCTCTGACATGGGAGCTGGCTTGGAGCTCTTCTGCCTGGCTACATGTTTCCTAGACGGGTCGCCTGTGGAGCTGGTTTACAGTTGCCTTTTGAATCTCTGCTTCTTTCTTTATGTTTTTTTCTGTCTCCTTGAACCCCAGTCGGCCTCAGCAGATGGCCGCTCACACTGACCCTGGTTCTGCTGGAGGTTTCTTCCGGTTAAAAGGGAGTTTTTCATCTCCACTGTCGCTACAAGCATGCTTAGTGTGAGGGATTGCCTTCCAGGATGCAATCAACTGGTTTTCCTTAGATAGAAAACTTTGAACTGATCTGACTGGATGATCTGGTTGAATTGTCTCTGCAAAGTTCCTTGAGATGACATGTGTTGTGAATTGGCGCTATATAAATAAACAAAATTGAAACAAACGGTTCATGAACTCGAGACTCATAAAGTGAAATCTGATGTTTCCATGGACACCAGGTGTTCCTCTGCTGTTTAGAACCAAATAAGAAAAAGATGTAGATCTTTGGAAAGAAGATTAAAGAAAACAAAAAACAGATTCAAACCCCTTAAATGAGCATAAGATTAGAGAAAGTTAAATTTCTGCTTCTTATCTTGCCTCTAATTGATACTTGCTGTTCTGGTCTCCTCACAGAAAATGTTTTCATTTTTTCTTTTGGTTTATGGAGCACTGAATAATCTGAGCCAAACTGATTCAGAGGTGGTTTATTAAACATGAAGTATGTTTTCCTCTGAAGTCACCAGTAAGTCTAAGTTCACAGGACCAGAGCTAAACAAGATTAAATCCATTCAATCCCTGTTCTTCTCTCCTCTGAAACATCTTCCTAAAGAAACCTGATCAGCTTCCTTTTTGAATCACTGTGGACATTTACTGCAGTTTCTGGCTAAAAGGTGTCACTAATAATCAGTCAGCCTGATCACTGAGTGACAGTAGATCCGCATCTTTATGCAGAGTACTTGAAAGAAAACAAATTGGGTTAATTTTCATATTTTATTCCAGAATTGTGTTTTAATATTCCTAATGAGTTTGAACAAGTAAAAAGGCAGTAACCTTCAAAATAAAAGCATGTTGGTCTGTAAATAATTTCAATAAAACAAATGATCCGCAGCTCACAATAAAAATATTAGTTTCGTTGGGTTAATATTTAAAAGGAACTAAATAAAATATGAAATTTATATTTCCTTTCCTCACAAACTTTCTAGTTACCCCGGTGATGTTTGAATATCCTGATCCTCTGATCGCAGTGATTATTGTGATCCTGGCCAAAGGCGCTGAATATAAAGTTAAAAACGGTGACATCTGACCTCATTCATCTCTTAGAAACATACCTGATTAAAAGCACCTCTTCTACTCCCGCTGTTCTGTTATTAACACGTGAAAAAGTCGCTGGAAGATGACGTAGTTCAAAACTACGGCTACCGCAGAGGGTCAATTCAGTCGTTCTTTGCTTTCGCAGAACCTGTCAAGTTTGGGATTTGAAAATAAGGACATTTGAAGACTATTAAAGCGAACCATCCTACTTTCCCAGTCAAGCTCCAGTATCCGTTATATTTTAAGTCATTTGCACAAGAAATCTGATAGAAATACTTTCAACCAACTGCAAACTATAAAAATGTGATCAGATTTTAGACCTGGGATGAATCCTTCAGGGAAATTCAGTAGCTTATATAGAGTGCAGAGTTAAAGCAAGATGCCATTAAAGATAAAAAAATAAAAAAAAATACAACAGACAATATAAAAAGAGTATATTTAGCACAAAAAGGCATAAAAAAGTAAGGTGTAATGTGCTGGAATATATTTCCCTTATATAAAAACATCTGCACAGTAGAGAGCTAAAGGAAAACCACATAGTAGTTAACTTAAGTTATTGCATTGCACTGCAGAGATGTACTGACCTTATAAATATGTAAAAAAAATACACAGACTACACAGTAGTTGGCATGTGTTTTTGCACAAAGAGAGAACAATATTGCACATGAGTGAAAATAGGTAATGTTTTGCAGAAGATGTCCAGGTGGGGGGTCCCTCTTCCTATCCCCTCCTCCTCCTCCTTCCCCCAGGGTGAGGAGTGAGGCGTTGTACAGCTGATGGTTGGAGAACAAAGGAGTTCAGCAATCTGTTGGTTCTGCATTTGGGCAGCAGCAGCAATCTCCTACTGATCAGGCTCCTCAGTGATGCAGTGTGCAGAGGGTTGCTGGCATTGTCCGAAATTTTCAGCAGTCATCTTTTGATTTTCAGTGCTAGTGACTGTTCCGTTTTTTTTTTTTTATATAATTTTATCAGGGGCGCAACTACACACTTTCTAAGGGGTATGCAGATCCCCCCTACCACCACCTTACATCTTCACCACTGAGTAATATTGTCAAACTACCATTATTTAATAGTTTTGAATAAATTACACATATCGGTAATGTTTTTCCATTATATTTATCAAGTATGGCTGTTCCTACACTCCCACCTAATATCAGGCCAACCTGTTGTCTTTCCCTATGCATCATCCTGCTTCGTCTCCTTATTCCTCCTCAACATGAGCTTTGTTAAACAGAAGCCATCCTGGTTTCAGAATGATGACATCAAGCAGCTTAGGAAGACTGTTCTACATGGAGATTATTAAGACACATTTCTTGGCTGACTTGTTTTAAATTGTATAAATCAAAGCCGTACTTTATAGGCTCCAAGAACAAATGAAACGTGGAACTTTAGTTTTTACATATGGTGTCATATTAGGCGAGAACATTTTGATTACTAAAAAAAAAATAGAGGACATTAGAGGCAAATGATACTCAGAATTTACTGAGATACCTTCTAATTTTTAAAAATATAATTCAAGGTTTTTCCCCTATTATTATAAAATGAAGTTAAAGAACAAAAATCTCAGAACTTATTAAACATGCTTTATGAGGCCTAAAATAATATATTTAACCTGTGTCAGTACTTCAAAAATAAAAAAATAAGAATCTAGAAAGAAATAATTATATAAATAATGCTATTCCTGCATCAGAAAAAAATCAATCTGCTGATTAAAGGAAAGGATTTTTTCCCCCTTGTAAGTTATTACTCCCTCTTAAATTAGACCTGTAATTAATTACCATCTAATGTCATAATTGGCTGTCCAATAAAATAACATCAAACAACTTCATATTTTTTGGAATCATTATATTCTATAAACTGAACAGTAAACTTACAGTACTTGCAAGACTACAGTAGTTTAACCCAACATTCATATGAACACCCGCCATACAGAAGCTCAAGCTTCTTCATTTACCTGTCGTCTTTTAACCATCATCACCGTGGGAACAGCTTTCTCCTCCGTCTTTCTGATAGCTTCCTTTATGAATCTGCAACCATTTATACAACAGAGGTGGATAAAAAAAATACACCAAACACTCGGGGGGAAAAAAAAATAAAACTACTAGAGACCAGAAGGTTTAATACAACAACTTTATGTACACTTTTACACTTCATTAACAAAAACAGCCATCTACAATAACAGAGATAGTGCTCTTAGGGAGGAGGATTCTGTCTCCGACATAATGCTTCCACAAGTGGCTCTGCTCCTTTTTATTTGGTAAGTTATTGCTGTCCTTCACTTCCAACAGTCTCTGCTATAATCCAGTGTTTGAGGAGTCGTCCCGTGGATGTGCTGCTGTAGAAAAATAAGCTGCTCCCACAGAGCAGGCAGATGGGCCCAGACAGGTCGCCTTTAATCCAAATAGAAAAAAAACAAACAAACTACCAAACCGCTAAGGTCAAGATGGCGGAAGTTGCTCCCTCTTAAGTTGAACTCCTACTTGCCGTCTCTACTGGCATATAAAAACATTTCAGTCATCTTTATTTATTTAAATGAACATTTCCAAGGTTTCCTGGCTAAAAACGTCGTACATTTATAGGTTTACTGTATATATATATCCATATTTATATATACACACAGCTTCTTTATTTTGGTTTCTCTGTGGTCGGCATCAAACAAACGCTCCCTTGTGCTGCGTCGTTCAGCAACCTCAAAGACGGCCGGGGCTGGCCGCACACCCGTTGTCCTGGCAACGCCTGTTGTGCATGCATGTCAGAGTGGAAGTGTTGTACTCTTGGCAGAAGGTAGGCACCGTCTTTATAGCTTGACTTTATGTATGACAGGATCCATTCATACGCACGATGGACAATCAAGAAAACCAAAGGCACTCTGGGAAGGACTGGGCGGGGTCTGATTAATGGCGTCAGGTCTCAGCCTTAGTGTGCGTCTGTGTTTACATTCCAGAAGCCTTTAAAGAGGAGAACGCCAGCCTCATCTCCAAGGTGGCCGTCGCTGCTAACCCGCCACCGTCTGCGCTGCAGTCCGGTTTTAACACATTACTTCAACGACTCATGAGGCGCCGTGACTTTAATGTGCGAAGGAGGCGGGCGAAAACGATTAAGAAGAAATCCCAGGCAGAAAATAAAAAAAGGGTAAACATTTACTGGGAGAGGATCCCAGGAGGATTAGAGCCTCCAACCGTCTGTCGGTCATAGCTCTACGGTGTGATGCAGAGAAGGGGGCGGGGCACAGATGGCGTCTTTGATTGGTTGCTTTTTTTATCCCCAGAACAATCGCGTACCCAGGCCCATGCTGGTTCTTAGTGGTTACTTTACGCAGAGGAGGCCGCCAACGTTGGCCACAAACTCCTCCAGGCTCTTCAGGAAGGCCACCTTCTGCTTGCGGTCCATGGTGGGCGGCGTGCTGCTGGCCGTCAGCTTGTTGAAGGCGTCGGCCAGCCGCTGGTAGATGATGGCGTCTCTCTGAGAGGACAGCAGCGTCTCCACCAGCTCAGAGTACTCCGCCTGAAAGACGAGGGTCAGATGAAATGATAATGAAGCCGTTACTCTTTGGAAAAGCAGAAATATAGCAGAACAGAGCAGCGTTAGGGGGTTGGACCTGATTGATCAGTTTCCTAAACTAGCTTTGCTTCATATTCTCCATAATGGATGGATCCCATCTCTAAATCTGTGATTTTCACACCGTCTATCTAGTAAAGCATTCATTTATGAAGTGAAACGTTTAAAAAACTAAAAAAAACTCAAAACTAAAACCTATTATATCATCCTTTTTTAACAAACCAGATTTAAGTCTTATGTTTCTTTTTTAAATATTTTAATAAACTCTTGAAATCTGAAGCTGATTGGTTAGAAGTTTTATAAATTTATGTTGGAATATAATCAGTTTTTTTTACTTTATGTTAGTTTAAAAAAGTAATCAGTCTTGATTACAATGAAACAGTAACTTTATTTTTTGGAACTTTAAATTTAATTGCAACTGAAATTATGAAAGATAAAATTTTTGTAATTATTGAATTAATTCAATTATTCTGCTATACAGTTCTGTAGATGTGATCATGTGTTTTGTTTGTTATAAAATAAAGCAAATAGATGTTTTATAACTTTATATTTTTACCTTTAACAGGCTATAACTTGTTTTGTTTTAAGTGTTTAAAACCTGAAAGTTCATTAAGGGTTTGTTGACTCCCATCGTCTATATGTGTCTGTTAGAGCTAGCCTGATAAACCAGACTAAATGTGAGATTAAATGTGTAATTTAGTCTGGCCCCGATGAATGAGGCATCGGAAGATTGATGATGAGAACAACCCGTTGTTTTTCAAACCATGTCTGTGCCTATTGGCCAACACTCTGACCAATGAGCACAACTGACTGTGACGTAGTGAGTGCGACAGAAAGCTGGTGGGGGAGTGTAAACAAACAGCCTGTCGGTAAAACGGCGAATACTTCCTTCTTAAAAATGAATGAGCATAGAGCCTCTTCCTGCTCCCCAAGTCTAATCCTTCCAAAACTGATTCCAAAGCTGAGTCGAACAAGAACTGTTCAATAGTTGTTCCCATCCTCCTTGTTGTGCTTTCTCCAGCGTCGTGCAGCTTTGGTGTCACGCCCTCAAAACACTGGCTGCTTTGCATCCAAAAATTCAAAATGCATCTCTGCATTGTGATTGGCCCGCCAGTTCTGGGGCGTGGGCCATTGATCAAAGCTAGACCACTAGCAGGCAAAAATGATTTTGGCTGCTGGCGGGTGGGGCTAGTTCACTAGGCTATGTTAGAGTCACACAAAGGAGACATGAACCTGGAACTAATAATAATATTTATTGAACTTTATTGATCATCTCGCATTGGAGATATTTACCTCTGCATCTAAGGGTCTTGCTCAGGGACCCAGAGTTTTAAAATCACAATCTCTCTGCCCTAACCACTAGGCCGCGACTCTCCTTAATTAACCTCTTTGTTCCCTCAACCTGAACCTGAACTCAAACTTAAACCTTATTGTTGGTAAAAAAAAAAAAAAACACAAACAAGTGAGAACCAGCAAATTGTTCTCACTTTGGTACAAAAAGTCCTGACTTTGCTAGATAACGCCCCCTACAGGAACACCCGGAGCTTGGTTTCAAACCTGGGACATTCCCGCCACGAGGCAAACGTGCTGTTAGAGAAATTAAAGCCTCCATCCAACCTTAAAGCAAAAACAAACCCATTTTCCAGTTTCTGCTTTGCTCTTAAGTCTGTTTTTTAATATTTATTTGATTCCACATTGCAAAGCTCAGAGCAATTTGATTCTAGTATGTTTGATTGAGTCTCCATTGTGCTCCCTGATGGAACGGCCAGTCTAATCAGAAAACCAGGACATTTGATTCATGAAATCAAAGCTGCAGGTTCAGACTTTCTAAGCCTTTAAATCAGCATGCTTGTACATGTGTTGCTTTCTCACCTGATGTAGGCACACAAGGGTGTAGAGGGCTTCTCCTGCCGCCACCGTCATCTCTGTGTTGTGTTTCTGTAGCACCAGCATGTCAAACACCAACTGCAGACAAAATAAACCAAAACAACCCATTAACATGTCGCTTTAACCTGAGCCGTTCCAAGCAAAACATACGATTCTGTTTCCCAAAATGGAAAATAATGTTTTTCCTGCTGTATTTGTGTTTCTTCTCTGCTGAGGTTTTCTGCAAACTATATCCTGCTAAAGATAAAATATGATTTTCTTTTCCCTCCCCTCACCCATTGTGATGCCTTTCTGTTTTTGTCTTTTTGGACGGGCTGTAACAAAACTGAATTTACCTTCGGGGATTAATTAAGTATAATTTAAATACATTTTTTTCAACCAAGTTAAATGTCTATAAATTATAAATACTTAGATTAATACTCAACATAAAAAATAACTACTAGCACAAGAGGGAGAAAATAAATAGATAAAAAAAAAACAAAAGAAATCAATGTAAAATATTTATTTAAGTTAATGATATTGTTGTTAAATAGGTGCCTCTTAACAGGGGTCAGTAGGGGCCAACGGGGGCCCCTTTAGAACTAGTCTAGGCCCTTTAGTAAAGATATTTATTTCTAATGATGACAGAACCCAGAAAAAAAGAACCCACCAATTTGAACCCATTTCATTTTGTACCTATAAAATTTCATTTTAACAATGATTTAAAAGTAAAGTTGTTGCTCTTTTAGCGTTGTTCGTTTTAATATAGGATCACAGTTTTCATTCATTTTATCTGCAGAGCCACAAACAGCTCCTGGTTCAGCTGCTCACTGATATATTCTGTGGCCCCATGAACAAAAGATTAAAAAATGTTTTTCCCACCTATGTTGTGCAGGACGCAACTCAAAGTCGAAGCAAATAAACGGCTAATTAGTACAAAAAACTCAGATTTTAAAGCAAATAAATGAGGATAGAAAAGCAGAATTTCATTAAATAAAAGGTTTATTCTGCCAAAATAAAACGAAACAATCTGAGGCAAACAGAAATCTTAATCTGCATAAATCTCTAACCAGTCGTGATCGACCACCGAAGCCGGAGCAGCAATGATCAAATATAATTTAACCTTTAGGATTTTATATAATTCTATAATTTTTTATAAACCCTATTAGCAGCTCCTTTAGTGAAAGACTTAGACACCCTGTCTGTAAGAAGGAGCGCTTCTTACAGACAGGGTGCAATAAATGTGAATATATTAGTCATACCACTACCTCACCGTTGTTCCTTACCTACTACACTTTAATCTCTGTGTTACTCCCTTGTATTTTTTTATTTCTTATTTTTATTCTTTTTATTTATTTTTATTCCTAATGCACCTTTTCCTCCTTGTTTGCACCTTCTTTAATTACTAAGCCAATATGTGACCAGTGAATTTCTCCGCTGTAAGATCAATAAAGCTCATCTGATCTAATCTAATTATTGCACCGAAAATATTAGTAATAGTTTGAAATGTCCATAAAGAGGCGGCATGTTGTCGTGTCTCATACCTTCAGGAAGTGGCGCGTTGCGATGAAGAGCGGTGAGTCTTTCTCCTGGTTTTTGGCGCATTGTTCAGCCAGTGGAGACAGAGCCTCCAGACACAGCTGACTGACTTCTGAGCTCATTCTAAGGAGGGACGTTAAGGAGAATCACGTATGTACCTCCACACATTTACTGAGTTCTGCATGAAACACATGGTCAAATAAATAGACTGGAGCCTAATCTGGACTCTGTGAGAGGATACGAGGTCATTCCCAGCTCCAGTGAGAACATGAGGCTCTTAAAAAGGTCCTCCGGCAGCTGGGGGATCTTTTCTGGAAAGATCTCACAGATGAAGGTGATCAGCTTGTAGTACTGATTACACAGAGACGGAAACTGAAGAAAGGATAGAAAACTGTCAGCAGAAGTCCTCTAGAGTCACTGCCACACATTTAAAACATCCACGTTGGTGGTTTCACCTTCAACAGGTCCTGAGACATGAGCGGAAGAACGATGTTGACTCCGTAGAGAACGACATCTGCGGCAGAGACCGTGCGGTTCGATGCCGGCGTCCCCTGCTCTTGGTTTCGAAACACCTCATCTGGAAGAGGAGTGGATTAAGGAGGAGGGGGGGATGGATTCATCTTCTCCACTGAAACTTTCCGATGACTCACCATTGTCGCTGAAGTCTATGAACTCCTTGGACAGCAGGTTTGTTAGCAGCTCCATGATGAGCAGCAGGTCCTGGTACTGGTCCTCTTCGGCCGTGGCGTCGCTCCGCTTCCGGCTTTGGTTGTTTTTGGAGTAGACCTGCAGCAGCGTCAAGCAGGCTTCATACAGCTTCATGGACTTGGTCTGAGGAAGCAGAGGAGGAAGAGGAGGATCATCATCATTCCTCAGGTGAGGAGCAGCAGATTAGACCCAGAGGAGTAGAAGTACGCTAAAGTAGTAAAAAATACTGATGCTCCAAAAAGTATCCCTACTTAAACTCTGTATCTGGCCAGAATACTAAGTAAGGTATGAGCTCAACAATAAAGACATCAATTTGTACATTTTTGCATTCGCTACTTTAAGATTAATGGATTATTAACAAAGTAAAAGATAAAAACTTTAGACTGGATGGTTTTCATAATGACTGTGATGTGATCCCTGAGGTATATGGAGGGTCTATAATGAAATAGAGAAATAAACAATGAAATATGTCGATGTAACAATTTTTTTTTTTTTAAATATATTATTTAAACAAACTATAAAATTGTAAATTTTACTATAAAATATTGAAATGACCTTTTAAAAAAATACCTTAAATGTAATTCCTTTATCTGATATTTGTACATAAATACATGATGAAGTAATCACGTTTTTTTTTAGGGGATCTCCTGTCTGTTATACTGTTTACTTATTTATCAGGGGTTTCACTATTGTGAAAATTGTTATTTATATTTA